GTCCAGGTAAGAATATGGTGTCACCGTTTGACATGACTAGTGGAATATGTCTAGCGTCGTTCTTCGAGTCCCTTGTTACAAATGGCACTGAAACGCATTATGGTACAGGATTCGTGTACCAATGGTAAAATGTTTATTTTGTCTTAAATATTTTCCCGGTAAGATCACAACAGGAATTTTGATTTAAATTGACAATTAATTCGTGTTTTCAATGTTTGAAGACTTTGGCTGATATTGAGTTAAAGACTTAGAGACTTTAAAGTCCATTGATTTAACGAGAACGTCATTCTTTAGTCAATGAGGAGCCATGATGGCTAAGTGGGTAAGACGCTGGCTCGCTAGCCTGGAGGTCGGGTGTTCGACCCCTGCATTGGCCGAGAAAGTTCATCAAGATTTTCCTGCGTGGTTCCCCCTTGTCAGTGATGCAGGTCGGAGGGCCTGAAAAGGACAGCTGTCTAGTCGTTCGGATGGGACGAAAAACCGAGGTCCCGTGTACACATTGGAGTGCACGTAAAAGATCCCTTGACAGTTGGAATTCGATATATGAGTAGGCCATAGTGCCGATGTCCGGGCAATATTTCCCTCATAGCACACTGTTTGGCTCATGCCCGTCTTCATTAGCCCAGTTCGCGGCAGAACAGTAGGACGTTAAACCCCATTTCATTTCATTTCTTCAGTCACGGTTTAACCTACAACAAGAAACGCCCAACTCCATTAAATTTTAGCCTAATTCTGCAACTCTTTCAGTTAAATAGAGGTATAGTATTTCTAAATGTAAACAATTTATTTCACCCCAATGTAAAAGTTTGTTCTGTAGATAAAATTACAGATCTGATAAAGGAGTCCAAGATGGAAGTGAAGAAAGTCGGCCTTTGTTGCTGCCTCAACAATCGTGTTATTGTTTGATGTGTGAACTCCGGGGCGTGTACAGGCGATAGAAAGGACTCGACACGAGGCCATGTTTATTTAAATATGTCACAGTTTTAGATATTATTCTGTAGTTAATGTAAAAATGAACCACGCACCGTTGTTGAGAGAGAACAGTAACCATGCACCGTTGTTAAGGAAGAAAAGAAACATGCGCCGTTGTTACGATGATGAACAGATAACTCTTTGACAGGTTTTGTAAATTTTAATGACCACCAACTGTGATGTTTCTTTGATAAATTAGATGTTTTTCGTCTTTTCATTTACAAAGATCAAAATATGAAATCTACAGTAAAAGCAACAGATTAACCATTAATCTATTGGACAAAATTACATGCAAAATGGTGTAATTATTAATTCTAAAAAAGCATTAGTTTTTAACTGCTCCGCAGTGATAAAATTCTCTCTTTTCATGGGTCGATTCCTGCATTGGCCGAGAAAGTTCATCCAGATTTCCCCCTTGTCAGTGATGCAGGACGGAGGGCCTGACAAGGACAGCTGTTTAGTCGTTCAAATGATCCGAAAACCAAGGTCCCGTGTACACATTGTCGTGCACGTAAAAGATCCCCTGACAGTGGAATTCGATACAAGAGTAGGCCGCAGTGCCGCTGTCCGGCAATAGTTCCCTCATAGCACACTGGCGTATGCCTGTTTTCATTAGCCCAGTTCGGAGCAGAACAGTAGGACGTTAAACCCCATTTCATTTCATTTCATTTCATTTCATTTAATTAATGTTCCTATACAAAATATTTGTTAACCACGCTGCAGTGGCAAAATTGGTGTGTTTGTTTAAACTAATAATAAAAATTTAAATTTTAGGCAGAAAATAGATGGAGAAATTAGTAATCATATAATAAAGATGCATTTGTTAACTCCGCTGCAGTGGCAAAATCCTTACTTATTATTGGTGTGTTCAGATATGTTCAAACTTCAAATAAAAAGTTAGAGTTGGTGTTGAGATAAACGAAATTCTTATATTTAACTAAGTCTCTAACTCAATATCATCCAAAATCTTCGACATTGAAAACACGAACTACTTTTCGGTTTAAATCAACACTGATGTTGTGATCTTACCGGGAAAAGATCGGCTGCTGATATCCAATATTTAAGACAAAATAAACATTTTACCATTGGTACACGAATCGTGTACCATAATGCGTTTCAGCGCCATTTGTAACAAGGGACTCGAAGAACGAGGCTAGACATATTCCACATGTCATGTCAAACTGTGACTCATATTCTTATCTGGAGATAAATACTATCGGCGTAGACTGGAATAACCAGACGCTAAGATTGCCATTCGATTGAAACTTCTGGCGTATTTCGCGGAACCTAACTTATTAGAAATTACAGTAAAAACAGAAACGATTGAATGTTAATCAATTTATATACATTCATATTACATTATTATATGCGTTGCGACCCATTTGTGTCAATTTCTAGGTAAACAAATATTAGCCCCTTTAATTTAAGGTAAAATAAATCAAAACCACGGCCCTGGTGAAATTCTACGCAATATTTAGAGTTGAACTTAGGAATATATAGATTCTAATGTAAATGGTTAAAATTAGGCCATGTTTATGTTTGGTCTTCCCCCTAAAGCATCGAACAACTCACCGGAAAATAATCATTTGATGACCTGTAATTGTTGCAGTAGTATTTAATGGTAATTGAACTAGAAATGAAATAAAATGGGATTTAACATCCTGTATTTTTGTATGGAGAGAGAGAGAGAGAGAGAGACACTTACACTTACTTTCAGATATTTATGACCTGAACGAGTGGTATATAAACATTTTAAAATTTGTACATTTTTATTCATCAGCCCGGTGAGTCAGAAAGTATGGCGATTAAATAAAATGGTGTTTAACGTCCTCTGCTCCGAACTGGGCTAATGAAGACGGGCATACACCATACAGTGTGCTTTGAGGGAAATTTTGCCCGGACAGCGGCACTACGGCCTACTCTTATATCGAATTCCAACTGTCAAGGGATCTTTTACGTGCACACCAATGTGTACACGGGGCTTCGGTTTTTGTCCCATCCGAACGTCTAGACAGTTGTCCTTGTCAGGCCCTCCGTCTTGAACCACTGACATGGGGAATCCATGTCCCGATGACCTTTCCCGGCCAACGCAGGGATCGAACACACGACCTCCAGGTTAGTGAGCCAGCGTCTTACCCACTTAGCCACCTTGACTCCCTTAAAGATACATTATGTGAGATTAGATAAAGAGCTGGCAGTTCTCACTATAATAGTTAAAAACTAGACAATGTAAAGGGGATTTGATGAAAATTTCAGTCAAATTGATCCACTCTGAACCGTAATTTTAGCGATTGAATTTTCGCCCTGGTCTCGATCATCATTACTAAAGTCGGTACGATAAAAAAACATAGTCTGGATTATCCATTTCATGATTAAATCATGAATAAAAGTTGAGCTGCAAATGGCATCCTAATCCAGTAAATATCGCAGTATAGCGTTGACATCGAGAGTTTATTATGGACTGGATAAGTTAATAAACGTCTAATTAATAATTTAGATAACATTTCAGGCCTAAAGAAAGACGTGCAAAGGTCGATTTAGCTCGTGCATAATGTATGTTTAAGGCGTTTAACCCCATTGCATTCTATTTCCCCAAAACATATAAAGGCTGAATTAAAGTGAAATGGGTTAACAAATTATTCAAATTAACAATATGATTTCACATTTCCGTATTTATTAACCTTTTCAAACAAATTTTTTTATAATGACTAAATTATTTACTCGAGCTATTAGTCACCAACTGTGATTGTTGAATATTATTACCATAATAAATGGTACACTGTCGATACACGCTAGTTGATTAGGTCAACGTGGCTCTCTGGGGCTTCGATCCCTGCATTGGCCGAGAAAGTTCATCTCGATTTCCGGCGTGGTTTCCCCTTGTCAGTGATGCAGGCCGGAGGGCCTGACAAGGACAGCTGTCTAGTCATTCGGATGAGACGAAAAACCGAGGTCCCGTGTACACATTGGCGTGCACGTAAAAGATCCCTTGACAGTTGGAATTCGATATAAGAGTAGGCCGTAGTGCCGCTGTCCGGGCAAAATTTCCCTCATAGCACACTGTATGGCGTATGCCCGTCTTCATTAGCCCAGTTTGGAGCAAAACAGTAGGACGTTAAACCCCATTTCATTTCATTTCATTTCTCTCTGGGGCTGCAGTCAGGGGCTAACTGAGAGGGGCGCACTGACGAGGTTTTTGTCATGGTTTTGAGTTTTTGCACCCCTCGCTAATGGCAAAAAATCACGTGATTTCAATGCGGTTTTCAGCATTATAATAATAATCGTAATGCCCAACCAGTGTCAAACATATACCGTGGGTCAGATATGCTTCTAGCATGTTCCACACAGCCCAATACTTAATTAGTGGCACTGGGAGGGACTGCCACCCTATTCCCTCGCCCGCACACACATATAAATATTGTATTTTTTTTTCGGGATCTTATTCCTGTAGTGCCTGGTTTGGTTGCAGAGATATCCTAGCTTGGGTGGTCGTTGTTATTTTCTCCGATATATTCTGAAGACGGTTCATTTCATTCCAGAACGCAATGGTCGGTATCTTGTGCAGATTTCAGAGAAGGCTTTCGAATCAACGCTGTGAAACGATTGTAAAGGCGGCTTTATTGCATCTCGATTCCTGTTGACGGAACCACTGAATATTACACAAAATTTCAATCCCCTGCGACTGACTGGTCCACAATTATCAGAATTAAAAGTTTGGTTGAGTTATACCGGTAAAGAAACCAAAAACTAAGTTAGGCAAATGGAGTATTTTGTGTAACATCAGTTAAAAAATTGAAAACTTCAAAATGCCTTTGTTTTTAGTAAAAGGTAAATTTCAATCATACATTATATATAAAATTTTTGGCTGAGGTATTTGGAGTTGCCTCCCATTTACTACTTTTTTTGCAAGAAAGTCAAATTATCTTTTCTATAATGCAATGTTTATATAGATGGCACGTAAATAGCTAGTTAGTCTCGATCACACTTTCATTTTTTCCGTCAACGACATTGTGTACATTATTTTAGGTCTGGATGACAGAGTTGTTGGCAACAGCTGTGCTGTATTAGGTCAGCACGTGACACTGAACGCATCAGCACCATTTCCAGAGAAAAGTGGAATTATTGTTCATGTAAATGTCATTTATCGACGATATGAAAGAAGTAAGAATTTATCTAATAATTCAGATTTTACATTTAGGAATGCTTGATAAATTTTTAGAAGGAGAAACTCGTTAAAGTATTTTTTAAATGAATGTCAATCGATTCAATCATCCGCCTGTCAAAAACAAAGCGACATTATTAAAGTGACATATTGCTGAAAATTTTTATCTAAGGTGAATGGCACATGCATAACATTTTAGCACACCTTTTCTAATCAATAAAACAAAGGTTATCGATTACAAGTTAGGATTAGAAATTGTCTACAAAGGGTTTAAAAAATAGAAACAATCATATTTAATATTTGTTGTAAAGTGTTTTGTACTATTCCCATCTTAATAAAATAAATGTTGTTTGTATAGAGAATCTCCTACAAGTCTTTTTTTAAATCAAAAAATATCATCACAAGTTGATAAAGTAACAAAGTGATGATATTTTTTGATATCAAAAAAGAGGAGTAGGAGATTTCATTTATCACCCAATCCTTTCTTACGTGCACAAATAAATAAATATAATTCTTTGCTATAGATTTCACTTTTACTGAACCTGATTACATTACGGCGTAGTGATGCATCATTTTTTGACAGCAATTCAACCATTGCAAAGTCCTTTATATTGACCCAGTGTTTCCATCAAGGTCAATTGAATAACAATAGTTCATTTTTAATTAAAAAAATGTTACTTTTAATAAGAAATGAACTGTTCTTTTAGAATAAAAAAAGTAGTTCCTTTTTAACTGACCAATCAAATTCATGTAAAGCGATATCTCCTAAGGATTATGTAATTTATCACACAAGCGATATCTACTGTAGAATGTATTATTGGGTGATAAAGGATATTGTTTCAAGTTTCTTTTGTTTAAACTTTCAGCCTCGATATTTAATTGACAATTTAATCTATACATGACCCATGTATCGAGATGATCATGTAATTCTTTAATACATTTATATTTGATTCTGAAACCAATTGCCCAATACCAGGCTGCTGGGGTTTCACACAAAATGAAATCAGGACGTAGCCTACCATTGTAATAAAATAAGTTTATTGTATTTGTCCTCTATTAAAAACATTAGCCTTTTGAGTATATGTATAATATGACAGTCATGGTTGATGCGACTCAAATTCAAAATGATATCTCTATACTAAACCTTAGCCTTAAATGAAAGGGAGTCATGTTACCATAATCGACTAAAATATGACGGTCAGGAGATTGAAAATATAAAGATAGTGATTCTAAATAAACAGCTTGATAATAAAATACTTTCACAATGTAAGAATTTTACCCAGACAGCAGCAGTTACACGTTTCCAACTGTCAAGGATTTGTTTAATATGTGCACACCAATCTGATTAAAACACATATCCTATTTCGTTTCATTTTTTATAGTTCAAAATTTCGTTTTACTTGTCTTTACTATACTAGGACCTAGAAGAGTTGTTATATAACCTGCATTCTGGTTGATGTGAGGAATTAGCCAATGAAATTTGTCACGACGAGTTCTTGGCGTGCCCAGAAACATCAATGCCGATTGGTTAATCAAATGTCTGATGTCATAGGGTCAAAAGCCACTCGTATGACCCCCGACACGACCTTCCACTATAACTGGTCAGATCTACATGTAGTGCAGGCCATGGAAAGTATACCCCCCCCCCAAACTAAATATAGATCTGTATTTTAATCAGATAGCGAGAGAGAGAGAGAAATGGGGTTTAACGTCCACTCGACACAAACTAGGTCATTTCGGGACTAACATATGGTTTAACTTTATTTCAACAATTCGCTTGCGCGTAGGGGTCTTTAGCAGTGGTAGGAAACCGGAGGACCCGGAGAAAACCCACGAGGTTGGACAGGCGATAATCAGATAGCACACCAATGGGTTGATCTAAGTTACTTGTAGGGAGTATATGTAGTTGGGACCGCAGCAGAGGGCACTATTAGAAGTATGCAACGCTTACAGGAAACAAATATTATCTCGTGGGTGGGGTTGGGGATTGCACTATTCTTAAACACCTTTGGAGCTCCCTGAACCTCTACTCATCCTTAGGGTAGAAAAGAAACAAGGAAAAATAAAATATAATAAAATTTTTGAGTGCAATGTCTCTTAAGATGATGATCTCATGGGTGGGGTTGCTCTTGTTTTAAACACCTCAGGAGCTCCCTGAGCCACACTCATCCCTGAAAGGTAAAATAGAAAGAAGGAAAAAAAAAAAGATTAATATAAAATAATTGAGTGTAATGTCTCTTAAAATAAGGTGAGAGTTATCTATTAGATATTATTGATTATAAACTTACCTGGATTGAAGTTCTATTAATAGCTACACATACAGGTATATTATACATACTATATACGTACATGATTCATATATTGCACGTTTATTTTCTCATTCGTCATAGTTATATCACGATTTAATCCTCGTCAATATTCAATTTACATATGGCTACACAGCCAGGGTATGAGAGTTAATGAGGTATATAGGGAACAAATAGCTAGACCGAGGTAACAATACATATAGACTGTTTATTTTATTTCCTATACAAGTACTGGGGGTGGGGTGGGGTGGGCGAATGATTGTATTGTAAGGTCTGCCAATGAGTCCACTGGCGTGGTTTCGATTCCCTGGTTGTACGTGACAAGGAGTAGGGTTGCCTGTTGTCCAACCTCGTGGGTTTTCTCCGTGTCCTCCAGTTTCCTCCCACTGCTCAAGACCCCTACGTGCAAGCGAATTATTGAAATCAAATTGAACCATATGTTAGTCCAGAAATGGCCAAGTGTGTGTCGAGTGGAGGTTAAACCCCATCTCTCTCTCTCTCTGTCTCTCTCTCTCTCTGTCTGTCTCTCTCTCTCTCCTTCCCTCTCTCTGTCTCCGTCTCTCTCTGTCTCTCTCTCTCTGTCTCTCTCTGTCTCTCTCTCTCTCTCTGTCTCTCTGTCTCTCTCTCTCTCTCTCTCTGTCTCTCTCTGTGTCTCTCTGTCTCTCTCTCTCTGTCTCTCTCTCTGTCTCTCTCTGTGTCTCTCTGTCTCTCTTTCTCTGTCTGTCTCTCTGTCTCTCTGTCTCTCTCTCTGTTTATATTGTTACATCACAGTTTAATCATTGTCAATATTTAATTTACTTATCTCAGGATATCAGATTTAAAGATACCTTATCTCAGGATATCATATTTAAAGATACCTTCCCATGTACAGCTCCCGAAAATAAAAAATAGCCTTATTGTAAGTACTAGATGTGTTAGTGTCCTACCTGTTGTGTAAATTATCCATTAAATCCTATTTTACTTGCCCAGAGTCAAAAATATTTTTAAATCCAAGCCACATTTGAAAAGCTTTACGTCAGTCTTTTCAAATCATTTAGTTGAATTTTTCAAATTTTTAAAATAAGGTGTGTTAAGATGAAATCTGTATCATCAATTAATTAGAATATTGTAAAATAGTACAATTTGTTGACCAGAATAAAAATTGGGACATATTATTCAGTTACAACAAAAGTGGTATTGAGCCTTAAAAGATACCTTCCCATGTACAAACTCGGTGATTTGAGGATATATTTGGACTAAAAACATATTCAAACTAATTAATCTGTCAAAATTTTTCTTCAAATCCTTCTCAGAACATTGTATTTGCCAGGGAATACCCTTGCTATAAAAAAAATCTATTAAAAGGACTCATGTTTGTGTCATGTGACTTGGCTGAGGAGCTACCTAGCAACGGGCGAGAAGCAGGAGGAGAATTCATTGCATATTCAAGATGATGTTGTCTTTAATCGCTGTCCATTTATCATAAATTTCAAAGCCTAATTAAATTCTCGGATTATCCACTGCCCATGTCCTTTTCCGTGGTTTTTATCTAAGAAACTGTTGTACGCTTAAGCTCACCATCAAGTTTATCAACATATACATCAAGCGCTCACTAACACTGGAAGACAATATTCGCGTGCAACCTTGGACGTCAGTCGAGCAGGTGTCTCTAATCGTCGGGTTGTAGGTTAGGTAAACCCTTACATTTTTTTCTGTATGCACTCCATGGGTGTTTTTCAGGGAATCCAGTATTTTTCTAGTAAGATTGGATGTTTCTACTGTCCATATACATGTATACCATAATTGCCATACTATTATTGTAAATAACCACCCAATAAATACTTTTCTGGGGAATTATCTTTAATGACATAGTTCAATGTATAAATAACCAGGCCCATGTAGTTTAACCTATTTATTTATTTCCTGCTTGATAAGGAAAGAAAAGACATTTGGGTGAAATCAGTTGACTGTTATGTCATGAATAGAATAGAGTTTTAATGTCTCACGAACAACATATTTTAAGTTTTAGGTAAAATCTTTTGATTTTAATGCGAAGTTCGTTCATTCTTAGTGTTTAAGATCTGATTCCACTTTTGGTGATATCGCAGACAAGTATTTACTGAGATATTTCACAGAGAAGCCACAAAATAGGTTTAGTCGAGCTTTGGTTGCATTGGAGATTTATGACCAGGTAGAATTAGAGCATATGTTGCATTGATGGCAACACAGGCCAGTCTGTGGCCACTCTTCATCTTATTTTTAGTACCTGGAGCAACTCTTTTCGATGATTTTTTTTACCATGGATACTATCTTTAAAAGGCACTGTATCTTTACCGAAAGGAACCAGAATTGAATAGGCCTGTTAATCGATCGCGCGTCTATATATGAGGAGCCTATTACGTAATTTTTTACTTCAATATGCTTACATTCATATTTCATGTGGCATATAGCAGATGATGACTCGTACTAGTATTATACAATGTTTTACACTGGGTTATATTCCTCATTGTTTGTCTTTCAATTTTGAATAAAGTCTGTACCTGGACACTTACGGCTAGCCCCTGGATCCATTCAGTTAATCTGATATTTACGTTTGTTTGTGATTTCTGCGTATTGTGTCTTGTGTAATTGTGTGTGGTGCAATCCCCCTGAACTTACTTTTGGAAGTTTCTCACAAAAAAACACTTGTCTGTGATATCCCCCAACGAACGAACGATCCTTTAATATTATGTTTAATATTTTCAGTAGAAGCTGACATGATGTAGACGAAAAGATAATGAATGCAGAAGAATTTCTGTCTCTAGAATTAAACATAGATCCTATAGATAGCCATTTAATATTAGATAAAATGGAGAATGACAGATACGAGGACGAAGCGAGTGACAGACGTGACGGGGTCGAATCAAGTGACAGATGTGACGAGGATGGGTCGAGTGATCGACGTGATACAGAAGAGGAACCTGATTCACCCCTCGTCCCAAAACAACTCACATCAACACCGATAAAAGTTATTGAGGTAAGCTTGTCGAATTTATTTTAAAAATTTGCTTCATTAAATCTTCTAAATAGATGATAAATGAGTTATATAGAACAACAATCTTATTAAAACACAGATCCTAGTTCGTTTCGTTTTTTATAGTTTAAAAATTTGTTTTACTTGTCTTTACTACACTAGAATCAGGACGAGTTGTTATATAACCTGTGTTCTGGGTGGCGTGGGGGATTAGCCAATTAAATGGTCTGTTACAGCGACTTCTTGGCGTGCAATGCACGGAACTGTGGGTAAACCACTAGAAACGTCAACGCTGATTGATTAATCAATGTCTGACGTCATAGTGTCAAAAGCCTCTCGTAAGACCCCTGACATGACTTTCCCATACAACTAGTCAGATCTTTATGTAATTGAGGCCATCAAAAGTATAAAAAAAAATGAAACGAAATGACTAGACAGCTGTCCTTGTCAGGCCCTCCCTTAACTATATGTAACACCCTACTTTTCTCTACCTAAACTAATAGAGAATGCTGTTCTTTGCCAGTTCCTGCACCACTGACAAGGGGAAACCAAGGAATATTCTGGACCTGATATAATTTACATGTCTTTAAGAAGATCTATTTTGACATTAAAATAACAAGCTCAAAAATGAAACTAATAGTAAGTGCAGGGGGACTGTGCCACACATAATTTACACAAAACAAATCTACCGACAAGACACAATACGCAGAAATCACAAACAAACGTTCACATCAAATAAAGGATTTCTGGAGAAACAAGGACACACTAACTTTTAAAATTTTTAAAAAGAACAATGGGCCTATTTCTGTCACCTTGACTACAACTAATATCATTTCACTCTCTCTCTTTCCCCGGGAAATCAAATTTGTATAGGAATTCTCAACACAAAAGATTTGAATATCGACTGGTCTCGAAAATAATTGTGAATAAAATCTTATATAACAATAAATAACGTGGTATATTCATATGTATGACAAACAACAACCTTTGCTGTGGTTAAATTTACTTTTGATAAAAATGAAATCACATTTTTACTGGGAAATTTACATAAATAGGCTTATAGTGTGGTCAGAATTAATTAATGATACATTATGAGAGATTAGATAAAGAAATGAATGTGTAATTAATAATTTAGATAACATTTCAGGTGTAAAGAAAGCTGCAATAGGCAGATTTAGCTCTTGCATAATATATGTTTAAGTGTCACTGTTTCTATACATCCACATTCTTATTTGGACGTTCATTGGGCGCTCTCTCTTTAATTTCTATTAAAAATATTTATAAAGTCATAAAGTAATGGGTAATGGTAATTAATTACTTTCAGTGTAATGGATAATGATAATTTATTACTTTCATTTTAATGGGAAATGATAATTAATTACTTTCAATGTAATGGATAATGGTAACATTAGTTACATGTACATTGGCAATGTAATGGCTCCAGCCAGCCCTGTTGTTGTTGTCCCTGCCTGTCGATTTGCATTTAGTTTGTGGACACTCTACAGGTGACAATTTTTATACGATTTTTATGAAATTTGAAATATAAGTTTATATCCCAACGATCTCGGTTCTTTGCAACTTATGCATGTATCCAAATGTAACTTCATGGATTATGGTCCCTCATTGTACGAAAAATCATGATTTTAGCTTGTGGACATTGCAGCGGTCTCTTTTTTATCCAATTTTTATGAAACTTAAAATGTATGTTTATAACCAAAAGATTTCGGTTCCTGTCGATATTGGAGCATATCAGACTGTAACTTCCTGGATGATTGTACGATCTTGGTTATTGACAAACCCTGATTGTACAAAAAAATCACTATTTTTCAACTTGTTCTTTGTCAATCTCTTGCAAAAAGTGGGTATATCTTGCATGGCAACCGTTTGTTTAAATAATAAATAAAAAGAATGAAGTACATATTGATATAATGATAAATAAATATTACAGAGAGAGAAAGAAATGGGGTTTAACATCCACTCAACACAAACTAGGTCATTTCGGGACTAACATATGGTTCAATAATTTGCATGCGTGTAGGGGTCTTTAGCAGTGGGACGAATGCCGAAGGACCCGGGAAAACCCCATGCACAACTGGGGAATTGAAACCACATCTGTTGACTCAATGACAGAACTTATGATACAATGCGCACACGCTAACCAGGAGGTCTCACTTTCGCACTCCTGTGTTTGTCCGAGAAAGTTCTTCAAGATTTTCTGACCTGGTTTCCCCTTGTCAGTTGTGCAGGTTGGAGGGCCTGACAAGGACAACTGTTTAGTCGTTTGGATGTGTACACATTGGTGTGCATGTAAAAGAACCCTCGACATAAGACAAGCTGTAGTGCCGGGGAAAAATTTGCCTCATATCACACTTCAATAGAAGGCTTAATCTCACTTTAACTCGGTACATTTTATCAAGCCCTTCAGGTAATACCCTGCATATATCGGCACTAATTTCGATTGGTTACTTACCCAGCTTGAGAGCCTTTCCGATTCATGGATCATTGTGAATACCAAGTCTCACGCTTTTCAGGTAAAATGTCTACCTGTGATAATCAGGTTGCAAAGTTGTGTCACAACCTCTGATTGGACGCTACTATTCATGTGTCTCTGTTAAAGGGAGGCGAGAGAGAAATGGGGTTTAACGTCCACTCAACACAAACTAGGTCATTTCAGGACTAACACATGGTTTAATTTTATTTACATAATTCACTTGCGCGTAGGGGTCTTTAGCAGTGGGAGGAAACCGGAGGACCCGGAGAAAACCCACGAGGGTGGACAGGCGACCTTTTCCTTGCCACGTACAACCGGGGATTTGAAACCACGCCAGTCGACTCAATGACAGACTTTATGATACAGCGCGTGCAGGCTAACCATTCAGCCATCCAACCCCCCTGTAACATAGCTATAAGTTCAGGAATCGCAAAGCAGTGTAGCAACGTCTAGATGTTGTAAAACTTGCGGTCGTTTCTTCAGGAACATGGTCCTCGTTAGCTCAATGAATACAGAAAAGAAGGGCTTTAAACCCCATTTCATTGCAAGTTCCATGTGTATGACCTCTTAAGAATTGTAGTCTTACAATAACATTTAATGATGTTTTTTTTTTTTATTCCAGGATGAAAATGAAACACCACGAGAATTTGATCCTTACAACAACACAGATCAGTTTGATGATGGTGATGAGACTGGATCAAATAGTGCTTCATTATATAGTAGTCCAAGTCATCAAGACATTCCTACTATCACGATCACACCAGAATCTGATCCAATAGAACCAGATCAGCTGAGAGTTCCTATATTAGGGCATGAGGTCATGGAATCCAGATCAAAATTTACTGTAAGTGTTAAACAGGTTCAGCCTTTCATGGTTATTGAAAATACTGGATAATTTATCTTCACAATTCTTCCTTTTGTGGCTGGGGGGTTGGATGGCCGAATGGTTAGTACGTGCGCGCTGTATCATAAGACCTGTCATTGAGTCAACTGGTGTGGTTTCGAATCCCCGGTAACAAGGAGTAGGGTCGCCTGTCCAACCTCGTGGGTTTTCTACGGGTCCTCCGGTTTCCTCCCACTGCTAAAGACCCCTACGCGCCAGCGATTTATTGAAATAAAAATTAAACCATATGTTAGTCCCGAAATGACCTAGTTTGTGTTGAGTGGACATTAAACCCCATTTCTCTCTCTCTCTCTCCTTTTGTGGCTATTGAAAATACTGGATAACTTATCTTCACAATTCATCCTTTTATGGTTATTGAAAATACTGGATAATTTATCTTCACAATTCATCCTTATCTGATTATTGAAAATACTGGATAATTTATCTTCACGATTCATCGTTTTGTGGTTATTGTAAGGAAGGTAATTAGAAAGCCGGAGGTAAAATAAGCAGTGTACATGTAGCTAATAATAAAGGAAGATGCTAATTGTAGGTTGGTTGGGGAGGTTCGGGGATTTCCCTAGTCCAAAATAGCCGCTTTATATAAATGAGAATTTTGGGGAATGCTAATCCTAATTCCTGAACCTCCCCAATCGGCCTACAATTATCATTTCCTAATAAAAAAAGGTTGATGGCTTCTTCCCATTAACCCTATAGCACGTTGCACTACCCTGTACAAATATTGAAACAGTACTAGATAAGAGTTATGCCCCTTTATTTTCGGTAAAAAATGTCTGACAAGAAAGATTTTGAAATCCCATCACTGGTTTGAGGTATTAGAAGGGATGGTAGTTTGAGGTAGTAGAAGGGGTGGTAGTTTGAGGTACTAGAAGGGGTGGTAGTTTGGGGTACTAGAATGGGTGGTAGTTTGAAGTACTAGAAGGGGTTGTGGTTTGTGGTAGTAGAAGGGGTGGTAGTTTGAGGTACTAGAATGGGTGGTAGTTTGAGGTACTAGAAGGGGTGGTAGTCTGAGGTACTAAAAGGGGTGGTAGTTTGAGGTACTAATAGGGTTGGTAGTTTGTGTTACTAGAGGGGGTGGTAGTTTGAGGTACTAGAAGGGGTGGTGGTTTGAGGTAGTAGACGGGGTGGTAGTCTGAGGTACTAAAAGGGGTGGTAGTTTGAGGTACTAGAAGGGGTGGTAGTTTGAGGTACTAGTAGGGGTGGTAGTTTGAGGTACTAGTAGGGGGTGGTAGTTTGAGGTACTTGAAGGGGTGATAGTTTGAGGTACTAGAATGGGTGGTAGTTTGAGGTACTAGTAGGGGTGGTAGTTTGAGGTACTAGTAGGGGTGGTAGTTTGAGGTACTACATGTAGAAGGGATGGTAGTTTGAGTTAGAAATGGTAGAAAATATTTACACAGCTAATTAATACATGTAGTAAGGGAAGGAGATATTAACAATTGAATTTTAGGCCTAATCTTGATCATCATTACTAAAATCGGTACGATAAAAAACAAAGTCTCAATTATCCATTTTGACGTTAAATCATCCATCACAAAATATATTCACATCCAGTAAATATTGCAGGCTAACTATTGCATCGAAAGTTGATTATGGTCTGGATAAATTAATTAATGTCTAATTAATAATTTAGATAACATTTCAGGCCTAAAGAAAGACCTGCAATAAGCAGATAATGTATGTTTAACAGTTTTATACATGGCAATCTTCATTAGCCCAGTTGGTGCAGAAATGAAATGAAATGGGGTTTAACGTCCTACTGTTCTGCTCCAAACTGGGCTAATGAAGACGGGCATACGCCATACAGTGTGCTATTGGAGGAATTTTGTCCAGACAGCGGCACTATGGACTACTCTTATATCGAATTCCAACTGCCAAGGGATCTTTTACGTGCACACCAATATGTACACGGGACCTCGGTTTTTCGTCCCATCCGAATGACTAGACAGCTGTCCTTGTCAGCCCCTCCGTCCTGCATCACTGACAAGGAGAAACCACGCCGGAAAATTTGGATGACCTTTCTCGGCCAATGCAGAGATTGAACACCCGACCTCCAGGCTAGCGAGTTAGCGTCTTACCCACTTAGCCACGTGATCCCCTGCAGAACAATAAGATATTAAACCTTGATTTAATATCACACATTGATATCTTGTATTGTATCATGGTCACTTAAACATGCATTATGCAAGAGCTAAATCTGCCTATTGCAGGTCTTTCTTTAGGCCTGAAATGTTATCTAAATTATTAATTAGACATTAATTAACTTATCCAGGCCATAATCAACTCTTGATGGCATCAGATTTCTGTGATATTAAATAGATTAGAATGGTTCGATCAACCAGTACGGTGGTTGAAATTATTGCACACGTCTGTCAAACCTTCAAAGGCTAATATCCATAGGCGTACGGGGAAATTTTTGACTGGGGGGGCGGTGGTGGTTGGTGCCCAAAAAATGTAGTTAGGTTCTTAGTATGTTACATAATAATAATAAATTCGCTGTTAAATTGGACACATTCAAGAACGCAATATTATTTTATACAACTTTTACAAAGTATAATTGTGTGCCCAAATTTTCCCAGCATTTGGTGCCCAAAATGGGGGGGCGGCTGCCCCCCCAGCTCGTACGCCTATGCATCTTCGCTTGCAATAGAGTAATTTGAATGAAATTTTCAAATTATTCATTTTACATCATCTACTTTCGAACTATTATAGCAAGAATGGCTAGTTCTTTATCTAAATCTTTCATAATGTATCTTTGACAAGGCTCTCATTGAATTTTTCAAACAACAGTTGGATGTTTTTAATCCATGGTTGTTAATCAGACATGTAGCTGCATCAGGGGGAAACACATCAGACCCTTTGGCACCTCTCTTTGTTTTTATTTTATAAAATCAGATATTTAAACCAAAGAAAAAACTATTTGAAATCCGGAGATTGAAAGATAAGTCAGCGATAGTCAGACCGAATACCGTAAAATCACCGATTGTTGGATTTGAAATAATGGAAAAAAGGGAGAGAAGCATTGTAAGTGAAGCTGAATATCACTTTATGCTCCCGACCCCGCTATCCCTGCCACACCCTGACCATAATATACGTCTATGCTCTTGGCCTTCCAATATAATTTATATAATATTTAAAATATCATTATACACTTTGGGGCCCTTATTCACGAAAACTTAAACTAAGATACAATCGAAATTTTAAGAAATACTGCAATTCGATTGGCTGACCAGTAAAATCAATTTGCATATATCCAATGATGTTGCAGTATTTCTTAAAATTTCGGTTGTAACTTAGTTTAAGTTTTCGTGAATAAGGGCCCAGGCCTCCCAATTTATATAACATAGAGCCTTCTGTACACCCAGGCCTCCAAATATATTTAATAATCTAAATATCACTGAATGCTCCCAGCTTCCCAATATACATGTATTTAAAATATCAATCTATGCACCTGACCTCCCACCAATATGAAAGATATCACTTTTTACTCCCAGTACTAAAAATCCAAATATTCCAATTGTACTCCCATTTTTCCAGTATTGAATATCAGCAATATATGTATCTCTCCATGCTCCCAAACATCAGCACTAAATGTACATGTATCACTTCATGCTCCCAAATATCAGCAGTACATGTATTACCCCATGCTCCCAAACGACATCACTACCTGTATCACTCCATGCTCCCAAACATCAGCAATACATGTATCTCTCCATGCTCAAAATACACAGGACACAGTTCTATGGATTATTGAGCGAGGTTTCGACTACGATTCTCTAGTTTTTATAAAGAAATAATAATTAAGACATCCAACAAAATAATCCTTGGACAAACAAACATAACAAGACTTTAATAAAAGCAGAGTGGTTTAATCCAGGGCGGGTTTCAGGATTGATGGTTATCTCCCAAAACACATCTCGGATTAATCCACACATTATTTACAGTCTTGTAAAGTTTGTTGCTCTGGGGAGTTTTCCCTGCAGCTTCCTGACTGACTGATTTCTGTGATCCAGACATTTCTAGGGGCTCTACTTTTGGTACACCAAAATTGATCACATGGCACACCCAAATTGATTAATATTAGTTGCTTCAAAATTGATCACATGGCACACATAATTTGACCACATGGCACCAAAATTGATTAATAGCAATTTTTTTTTACCACATGGCACACCCAAACTGACCACCTAACATACCCAAACTGACAACCTGACACACACAAACTGACGACCTGGCATGCCCAAACTGACGACCTGGCATGCCCAAACTGACGACCTGGCATGCCCAAACTGATCACCTGGCTCACCCCAACTGACCACCTGGCATGCCCAAACTGATCACCTGGCTCACCCCAACTGACCACCTGGCATGCCCAAACTGACCACATGGTACACCCCAACTGACCACATGGTACACCCAAATTCATCAACAATATTAATTGCTTCAAAAGGATTATTATACATATGTAGTAAATAACATAATTTTTTTAGTTTTGGTGCTTCAAGTGTCCACCAGAGTTGTTGTTTTCTAAGATATTTACAGTTATAGTGAAATGGACCAGCTGGAAAACTTACCACTCACTTAATTTACATGGCATGAAATTAGAATTTTAAAAGTATTTAACTTTTAAAGGCTCAATACCACTCTTGTTGTAACTGAATAATATGTCCCAATCTTTATTCTGGTCAACAAATTGTACTATTTTACAATATTCCAATTAATTGATGATACAAATTTCATCTTAACACACCTAATTTAAAAAATTGCAAAAATTCAACTAAATGATTTGAAAAAGCCTGACGTAATAAAGCTTTTCAAATGTGACTTGGATTTAAAAATATTTTTGAACCCTCTGGACAAGTAAAATAGGAATTAATGGATAATTTACACAACAGGTAGGACACTAACACATCTAGTACTTAGAATAAGGGGGGTTGGATGGCTGAATGGTTAACACGTGCGTGCTGTGTCATAAAGTCTGTCATTGATTCAACTGGCGTGGTTTCAAATCCCCAGTTGTACGTGACAAGGAGTAGGGTCGCCTGTCCAACCTCGTGGGTTTTCTCCGGGTCCTCCGGTTTCCTCCCACTGCAAAAGACCCCTACGCGCAAGCGAATTCTGGAAATTAAATTGAACGATATGTTAGTCCCAAAATGACCTAGTTTGTGTCGAGTGGACGTTAAACCCCATTTCTCTCTCTCTCTCCATGGTGACATTCATTTCAAAATAATTGGATAGTAAATAATTACCAATTAGTTGGGATAAATTTAGAGATGTATTTTAATAGACTGTGTTAAGACTATTGACTGTCCCTTATTTTATTGGACTGCTTTTATAAAGTCTAATAACTGACCTTTATTTTATTTATCTGTTTTTATAAAGGCTAATAACTGACCTTTATTTTACTGGACTGTTTTTATAAAGACTAATCATTGACCTTTATTTTATTTATCTTTTTTTATAAAGGCTAATAACTGACCCTTGTTTTAATGGACTGTTTTTGTTGTTACTTGTGTCTATGTCCTTTAATTTGCTAACGTTTTAGTATTTTTGTGTTTTTAGGTTTATAAAATTGAAATAGAAAGAGATGGCTTTGATAAATGGTTTGTATTTAGAAGATATAATGATTTTTACCAACTCCATGAAAAGGTTTGTAACATTACCAAGAATAAAATAGATTTATTAGGCACTAAATGTTGATCATGGACATTACTATAATTCACAACATTACCATGACCCCAGACATTACCATGATTAAAGACATTACCATGATCTCAGACATAACCGTGATATCAGACATTACCATGACCCCAGACATTTACCTTGATTCCAGACATTACCACGATTCCAGTCATTACCATGATTCCAGACATTACCATGATTCCAGACATTACCATGTTCTCAGACATTACCATGTTTCCAGACATTACCATGATTCCAGACATTACCATGTTCTCAGACATTACCATGTTTCCAGACATTACCATGTTTCCAGACATTACCATGTTTCCAGACATTACCATGTTTCCAAACATTACCATGTTTCCAGACATTACCATGATATCAGATAATCGACAAAGGACATAACTTAATAACTATTTATTTGTTTCAAACAAAGTTTTGTTTCCGTTTTAGACACCCATCTTATGCCTTGTATAGTGATTGGGTCTTGATATCTAGGTGGGCTGGATATGACGATAAAACTTGTAATACATAGTAGCCTTATTATCGAGAGCATGGCATCTATACAGCATGGTTGCAGCAAGTAAGAACGCTCATCACCGAAAGCATGCGCATATTAATACCTAGTACGCATGCACACAAATTCCAGTTATTAAACTACGGAAGGCAGTTGTTGACATACTAATAATAATTTGTAAAGACACTACACCTTGTATACAGTCTCGCTTTATTTTCCAATATTATGATGAGGTATTATATGAATGTTGTTTGTGGTTATTATTCTGCATTTTGTTATTTTGATAAATGGCCTGTTTCTATTCACATCTGTAACAATCTGGTTAAAACACAGATCCTATTTCGTTTTGTTTTTTATAGTTCAAAATTTCGTTTTACTTGTCTTTACTAGACTAGCCAATTAAATGGTTTGTTACAGTGTGAGGTGCACCTAACTGTGGGTAACCCACTAGAAACATTAAGGCTGATTGGTTAATCTAATGTCTGACGTCATAGGTCAAAAGCTGCTCGTATGACCTTTGACCCAACCTTTCAGTACAACCCGACTTGAACCGGTCAGATCTTCATATAGTGTAGGCCATCGCAAGTATAAAAAACGAAACGAAATATAGATATGTATTATAATCAGATTGAATCTGTACACATTAGAATAAGGTAGTTGTAAAATGTAGTTTTTTATTTTTTTTAAAGTTAAAAGAGATCTTCCCCAATTTTCGTCTTGCCTTACCTCCTCGTCGTTGGTTTCGAAGCAATTACGACAAGGAATTTCTGGAAGAAAGAACTCTGGGATTGCAGGCCTTTCTCAATAATATCACAGGACATGGAGATATTTGTAATTGGTAAGTTTACCTCATTTAGTGGTGGGTGGCGCTTGCTCCCTAATGAGTGGGTCCTGGTGGCACTGGCTCCCTAATAAGTGGGTCTTAGTGGTGCTTGCTGCCTAATGAGTGGGTCCTGGTGGCGCTTGCTCCCTAATGTGTTGGTCTTGGGTACGATCCTGGTGTTGACTAAGAAACAAGGAGAAAGAAAGAGCAATAGGGTTTACCATTCCCTCGACACAAACTTGGTTATTTCAGAACTAACATATGGTTCAGTATTTCGCTTGTGCGTAGGGGTCTTTAGTAGTGAGAGGAAACTGGAGTACCCGGAGAAAACTCTAGAGGTTAGACAGGCGACCTTACTTGACTCAATATAAGACCTTGTAATTTCATGGGCACGCTTTAAAACCACTAGACCATCCTCCCCCCCCCCTCGGCTGGACCGAAACCCTCATGTCCTGCAGAATTTCGCTCATGGCACATTGCATGGTGTATTCTTTAACTTCATTAGTCTGGCCATCCTTGGTATCTCCAGTTGTCTAGTCATTCGGATGTCAGTTGTAATTCGATATAAGAGTAGGCCGCAGCGCAGCTGTCTGGGCAAAATTTGCCTTAAAGCACACTGTGTGGCGTAAGCTTGTCTTCATTAGCCCTGTTGGAGCAGAATAGTAGAACATTAAACCCCATTTCATTTCATTTCCCTTGCCAATGTTGTCTGTTCACGTTTCAAAATATATTAAAATTGTTAACGAGACATTCCATTCCTGAACTTTTCAATAACAAATCATGATATTTGAAGATTTAATAACAAGTTTTTTTTGTTTATCCACAGTAAATGTGTCCGCGATTTTTTCTGTTTTGATGATCCTCCAGGACCACATGATAGTCTAGAAGAAAGCAGGGTATGTTATTTTATTCTATAGAGCAAGCATTTGTTATTTGTGATAGTTGTTTGTTTGTTTAGGGTTGGTGGCTACACCATAAGGTGTGCCGAGGCTGAAATAAAGACATCTCAAGCTAGAGAGTGCCATATAGACGTTGTGGTATTGAGCTAACACTTTTGGTTTCAGATTTTACTACTTTCAGTTTCACGAAAACTGTATAAGGAAGCCTGGTAGAGTTCTACCCATGGATGGTCTATTTTGATTAGGGTTACTACTTTTGGTTTCACAAAACGGGTATAAGGAAGAGTCGTGACGTTCTACCCATGCAGGGCCTGTCTAAATTAAATAATGAGTTGGGTTTATAACTGTTTACTTTCTCAAAATGTATTGAGTAATTAACAGACTACTGCTAGGGAAATTAAACTGTTATAAACCTAAACACTCATTTACCTTCTGGGGCTGAATGGTTAGCACGTGCGCGCTGTATCATAAAGCCTGTCATTGAGTCTACTGGCGTGGTTTCGAATCCCCGGTTGTACGTGACAAGGAGTAGGGTCGCCTGTCCAACCTCGTGGGTTTTCTCTTTGTCCTCCGGTTTCCTCCCACTGCTAAAGACCCCTACGCGCAAGCGAATTATTGAAATAAAATTAAACCATATGTTGGTCCCGAAATGACCTAGTTTGTGTCGAGTGGACGTTAAACCCCATTTCTCTCTCTCTCATTACCTTCTAGACCATTTTAAACTACTCAACAGTAGAAACCCAATGGTTTTCTATTATTCTCTAGGGGTTTCAACAGTTTTCCAACAATGGTTTGAAGCCAAATAGCCTGTTAAATACAGAAACTCCTGCCAAAACAAACCAACTACACGATGAAATGAAATGGGGTTTAACATCCTACTGTTCTGCTCCTATGCTGGGCTAATGTAGACGGGCATACGGCATACAGTGTCCTATGAGTTAAATTTTGCCCGGGCAGCGGCACTATCGCCTACTCTTATATCGAATTCCAACTGCCAAGGGATCTTTTACGTGCATTCTAATGTATACACGGGACCTCGGTTTTTCATATCATCCCAAGGACTAGACAGCTGTCCTTGTCAGGCCCTCCGTCCTGCATCATGGACAAGGGGGAACCACGCCGGAAAATCTAGATGAACTTTCTCGGCCAATGCAGGGATCGAACACCCGACCTCCAGGCTAGCGAGCCAGCGTCTTACCCACTTAGCCACGTGATCCCCTCAACTAAATGATACCTGAATTTTAGTGATACCAAGAGAGCATTGATGGTTATTAGGAGGACTAAAGACATGACCACAAGCATCTTATTCTTAAAGCATTGGTAATAAGCATTTGGGTAGCAATTTAGGGGCGTTGATTTTGATTGGTCTTATATTTATTTTCCGACTAATCAGAACAGCCAATAAATTGTCTGGTGTTTTGAATTTTCACTTCTATTAAAACTGGTATAGTAGGTGCTGCCTAACATACCTTGAAGTCCCAGGTCTTGGAATTGATACACTATATAGGGTCTGGGAAGGAATAACTTCAAGTCATTCAATTGGGACGGAAAACTGAGGTCCTGTGTATGTGTGTGTGTGTGGCTTGCCTGCATATAAAATAAACCTTGACAGTTGGAATTTGTTGAAGAGCAGACAGAAAGTCTGATTGAACCCCATTTCATTTCATTTCAGGCTTTATGTCAGAATCTAGTGGAAACTTGTTTATAATTTCAGGCTTTATGTCAGAATCTAGTGGAAACTTGTTTATAATTTCAGGCTTTATGTCAGAATCTAGTGGAAACTTGTTTATAATTTCAGGCTTTATGTGAGAATCTAGTGGAAACTTGTTTATAATTTCAGGCTTTATGTGAGAATCTAGTAGAAACTGTTTATAATTTCAGGCTTTATGTGAGAATCTAGTAGAAACTTGTTTATAATTTCAGGCTTTATGTGAAAATCTAGTAGAAACTGTTTATAATTTCAGGCTTTATGTGAGAATTTAGAAGAAACTGTTTATAATTTCAGGCATTATGTGAGAATTTAGAAGAAACTGTTTATAATTTCAGGCTTTATGTGAGAATTTAGAAGAAACTGTTTATAATTTCAGGCATTATGTGAGAATTTAGAAGAAACTGTTTATAATTTAAGAAAGGAATTATCAGAGAAGGAAGAAGAAGTGGAGATTTTACAAGAAGAATTAAGTTTATATAAAAATCAAGTGGAAATATTATCTAGAGAACTGAGGTGAGAACATGATTCAGATTTTCTACTCTTTGTAATTAAAGAAATTGAAGTATCTACTAAAATTTGGATTTTATCTTTAGTTAAAATTTCGTGAAACAGGGCCCAGGACACTAGTATATTCGAGACTTAGCTTCGCTTTCCCATTTTTAAATTAAATTTTTAAATGGCGAACCGTTTTAATTTAGTTAAAATCTTGAGTATCCAATGCCATCTAGAGTCGATTATGGTCTTGTTTTGTTAATTAATGTCTAATTAATAGTTTATAAAACATTTCAGGCCTAAAGAAAGACATGTAATAAGCAGATTTTGCTCATGCATAATGCATGTTTAAAGTAGTTAAACAGACATTATGCAAGAGCTAAATCTGCCTATTGCAGGCCTTTCTTTAAGCCCTAAATTATTAATTAGACATTTATTATCTTACCAAGACAATAATCAACTGTTGACGTCATCGGATTCTCTTCATTTTAAATGGATTTAAAAACAATTGGCGGTTGATGATTTTAATATAAAAATGGATAATCAAGACTTTGTTTATTATTGTTTCAACAGTAGCAATGACAATCAAGACTACACTGTTTTGCAATCAACGACAATTCCGCTCAGAATGAAGTAATTTGACCGAAATTTTCATCAAATTCACTTTACATTATCTAGTTTTCAACTATTATAGAGAGAACTGCCAGCTCATTATCTAAATCTTACATAATGCTTCTTTAAGCTCTGATATTTTAACTTATTCAAAGGAAGAAACCTCAATGAGTCATAAAGCTTATACTACACAGACAAGTGGTGGATCTGGGGTGGGGTGGAGGGGGAGGGGGGTAGGTCCTCCCCACTTCCTCCTTAAATAACCTTATAAAAATACACTTATTATTCTGTGTTTTTTCATGAAATGTGTAAATTTAAGTGTTTTGATGTTTGGGGTGATAACTGATAAAACTTAATGCTATAATCGGGTCCAGACACCCTGATATTGCAAAATGTTTTGGAGGAGAAACAACCCCCACATACTCTGTACCTCCTAGCCGACTATTCTTCTTTCGTCGCTGATGTCTTAGTTGCTGGCGGGCGTATGTTTCATTGACCTTTACACATTAATTTACCATCTCGATAGCTTTGGTGGCAGTATCAATCTGATTAAAAGACCGATCCTATTTCGTTTCGTTTTTTATAGTTCAGAATTTCGTTTTACTTGTCTTTACTACACTAGGATCTGGGAGAGTTGTTATATAACCCGCATTTTCTATAGTTTACACTAGGACCTGGAAGAGTTGTTATATAACCCGCGTTTTTTATAGTTCAAAATTTCGTTTTACTTGTCTTTACTACACTAGGATCTAGAAGAGTTGTTATATAACCTGTGTTCTGTTTGATGTGAGGGATTAGCCAACGGAAGGTCTGTTACTGCGAGTTCTTGGAATGCAATGTACGGAACTGTAGGTAAACCACTAGAAACGTCAACGCTGATTGTTTAATCAGTGTCTGACGTCATAGGGTAAAAAGTCGCTCGTACGACCCCTGACACGACCTTCCAGTACAACTGTTCAGATCTTCATGTAGTGTAGGCCATCGAAAGTATAAAAAACAAAACGAAATATAGATCTGTATTTTAATCAGATTGCGGCAGTGTTAACTTTTCCATCATTCCGCATTCCAATTATTATTAAAATTTATCATATTAAAGTTTTATTTTAGGGTTTAAATTTACAAATAATAATTTTATTTTTCCACCATTTTTTCGGAATTAAAATTTCATTGTTGTATATTTTTTTTAATGGTTTGTGGTCATTCTTTCTTTTTTTTTTTTTTTTTTTTTTTACCATTCTACCAGAGAAGCGAAGAGAGATAGTACATGTACGTCCAAATATGTTGCAACATCACCTGGATCGAATCAACTCTCATTGGCTGAATGTGATCAAGGAGGTGATTCTGACCAATCAGCCAGTAGCGATAGGTATAATTAACGGTATATACTAATTATGAGTGAGTTATTTGCTTGTAACATTAGCCTTCCATAGACATTAGCTTGTAACATTAGGCGACATTAACTTGTAACGTTGGCCTAACATAGACATTAACTTGTAACATTAGCCTTCCATAGACATTAACTTGTAACATTAGCCTAACATAGACATTAACTTGTAACATTGGCCTAACATAGACATTACCTTGTAACATTGAGCTTCCATAGACATTACCTTGTAACATTGGCCAACATTACCTTGTAACATTAGCCTAACATAGACATTAACTTGTAACATTGGCCTAACATAGACATTACCTTGTAACATTGAGCTTCCATAGACCATACCTTGTAACATTGGCCAACATTACCTTGTAACATTAGCCTAACATAGACATTACCTTGCAACATTGGCCTAACATAGACATAAAATTGTAACATTAGCCAACATTAGCATGTAACATTAGCCTTCCATAGACATTAGCTTGTAACATTGGCCTTCCATAGACATTAACTTGTTACATTAGCCTGACAAAGACATTAACTTGTAACATTAGCCTGACAAAGACATTACCTTGTAACATTAGCCTAACATAGACATTACCTTGTAACATTGGCCTAACATAGACATTAACTTGTAATGTTGGCCTAACATAGACATTAACTTGTAACATTAGCCTTCCATAGACATTAACTTGTAACATTAGCCTAACATAGACATTACCTTGTAACATTGGCCTAACATAGACATTAACTTGTAACATTGGCCTAACATAGACATTACCTTGTAACATTGAGCTTCCATAGACATTACCTAGTAACATTGGCCTAACATAGACATTACCTTGTAACATTGAGATTCCATAGACATTACCTTGTAACATTGGCCTAATATAGACATTAACTTGTAACATTGGACTAACATAGACATTAACTTGTAACATTGGACTAACATAGACATTAACTTGTAACATTGGACTAACATAGACATTAACTTGTAACATTGGACTAACATAGACATTAACTTGTAACATTGGCCTAACATAGACATTACCTTGCAACATTGGCCTAAGATTATAAATTATGGAATTATGCTGATCCCAGGTCCATCCTGCATGTCAAAGAACCTAAACTTCTTCTTATTTCTAAATACAGACTGATATTCTCTTTGAAAACCGAATAAAAATCAACATTTTCATTTATTAACCCATGTTCTTTTTAAATATCCCTGTGCAGTTGGAATTTTTTTATTCTCTTGTTAAAGTTCTCCACAATTTAAACTCATTCTCATTCAATATAGCTTAGTCATTTTTTGATTTCCGTTTTAGAATTTACATTTATGGTTACTGATTTTTGAATCATTTATTCATTGTTTTGGTTTTTTCCCCTAAGCTTATTACATGTAGAAGTAGTTATCATTTATAGTTGTCGAATGTACAGAACACATCATTCTTTTATGTAGGCTATCTTTATTTCTCAACTTGGGGGGTTGGATGACTGAATGGTTAGCGTGCGCGCGCTGTATCATAAAGTCTGTCATTGAGTCGACTGGCGTGGTTTCGAATCCCCGGTTGTACATGGCAAGGAGTAGGGTCGCCTGTCCAACCTCGTGGGTTTTCTCCGGGTCCTCCGGTTTCCTCCCACTGCTAAAGACCCCTATGCGCAAGCGAATTATATAAATAAAATTAAATAATATGTTAGTCCCGAAATGACCTAGTTTGTGTCGAGTGGACGTTAAACCCCATTTCTCTCTCTCTCTTTATTTCTCAACTTGGGCGATTGGATGTGTCAAAAGGTCTGTCATTAAGTGAAATTATTGAAATAAAAATTGAACCATATGTTAGTCCCGAAATGACCTAGTTTGTGGAGAGAGAGAGAGAGAGAGAGAGAGAGAGAGAGACAGTGACAGACCTATGACAGACCTTATGATACAACATGCGCTAACAATTCAGCGATCTGGTGTTGGGCGAGAAAGTTCAATGGGATTGTCTGCCGTTGTTTTCTCTTGTCAGTGGTGCAGGATGGAGGAAGGGTCTTGCCACGATGGGACGAGTACGCCTCAGTGCCGCTGTCTGAGCAAAATTTACCTCATAACGCTCTGTATGGCGAATGCCCAACTTCATTAGCCCAGTTGGAGCAGAACAGAAGGACATTAAACCCCATTTCATTTACAATATTGTAGCTTACAAGGGATTCAGAATTTCTCAAATTTGAAAATATTGCATTTTCTGTAATATTTGCTAATACTGCATTTGATATTTTCAGCCACCTGACAGCAACAGATAAATCAGATACAGAAGACACCAAGCAAGACAAAGTGTCGCCATCTACTGGTATAAATAGGATTCCGTTTAAAAATAAAATCTCTGTGCCGATTGTATCAACTGATGTGTACAGTTCATAATAAATCATTCATTTTTGTGGAAGTCATCGTGTTGGAGAATGCTAGATTGAAAACGGTCTAGCACAAATGGATTGTGGGTTAGGGTTAGGGTAAAATTTAGGTCTAGGAGTAGGGTTAGTGCTAGCCCTGTTTACATCTCAAGAACCTTACCCTAACCCTAACCCACACTCCGCATAATGAGGTCATATGATCTAGCGGTCTCCCCTGAGTTTTAATTATAGAATACGATACTGGTGTTTTATCTCTGTCATATTTAGACGGAGGCCTGATATAAAAAGATGTTTTTATTTCTGCTGTAAAGGACGTAACTAGTGCTAGTCTCCGCTTCCATGCTTGTCTATTTATCTGTGCTTTTTGATTGGACATCAGTTTGTGTCTGCAACTAACATCACTACGCATAACTTTGAACAAAGTTCAGGTTTTACTTTTTGTAAAATTGATGGATAGATTGAGAGACTTTTGGTAACTTTATAACTATTATAGATGGATTTCGTGGTTCGTGTGGCACTGTGAATAAAGGTTATGGTTAGAGTTACCTCTCCTTATAGTGTGTATCCTTTGGACAACTTTATAACTGTTTGATAGATACCAGGGTAGGTGCGGTCGCTGTAGTGCTGTGAATAAAGGGCATGGTTGGAGTACTTTTCCATGTAGTGTCTATCCTTTCGACAACAGTATAACTATTAGATGCATATCACGGTATGTGCGGAGCTGTAAATAAAGATGGGGTTTAGAATTTGGCTGTTGGGAAAATTGGGTGAACAGGTCCTCATGTGTTGTGTTTGTTTTTTTTTTTCTTTTTTCAATAATTCTAGAATCTTTCCCTCCAGTGAATTTAAATGATTGTAATTAAACAATTTGATGTGGAAAGGTGATCTACAGAATAGCATGTTTTGAGATGTAATCCACAAAAACTCCAACTAACATAATCAGCAAAACTTAAAACTAAAATATTTCAAGGAATCAGCCTTTTCATTGATTTTATTACCTTGAAGAAGAAGAGAGTACCTCTCCGAACCGTTGGTTTAACAATATGATGATGAAAACAGTGTCGGTGTCGTGTGTTTATCTACGTTAATATTTATCTAGTGAAGGATACTTCCGTATCGGATCCTTCGATCCATTGTTTTCATATTCCTGGTGGATGCGGATTCTACACAAGTTTTTCGTAGAAGAAGAGCTAGGATTCTCAGCCAATGAAAAAAGCTGATTTATTTTGTGGTTAAGGCCGCTGGTTTTCAGATATAAATAATTTAATTGAGAAAGTCTGGTAAACCTGACATTGACTAGAGTCCCGAAGGAAAACAATTATATCGTGTGAACTGAATATTCGACCCAGGCAGCGGTTTATGGTGCTTTTTTGTTTGTTTGTTGTGAAGTATTTAGTACATTGTTAATTAAGTTTGAAGTTTGTGTTTGATGGAGATATGTTGATGATAAAGTAGTGACAGAAAGAAATTGGCAATAATAGCGAAATACAGACGAGTAAGTAGCCACAGACGTTCCAGTAACATCAGTGTGTCGAGGAGTTATTGCTAGAGTCCTCGTTAAAATCATTTTCGACAATCTGATTAAATTACAGAAACTACTTCGTTTTGTTTTTTATAGTTCAAAATTTTGTTTTACTTATCTTTACTACACTAGGATCTACACTTCGTTTCGTTTTTTATAGTTCAAAATTTTGTTTTACTTATCTTTACTACACTAGGATCTGGAAGAGTTGTTATATAACCCGCATTCTGGATGATGTGAGGGATTAGCCAATGAAACGGTCTGTTACGACAAGTCTTTGGCGTGAGGTGCACGGAATTGTGGGTAACCCACTAGAAACATCAACACTGATTGGGTAATCAAATGTCTAACGTCATAGGGTCAAAAGCCTCCCACTACAACTGGTCAGATCTTTATGTAGTAGAGTCCATCGAAAGTATAAAAAAACGAAACATAGATCTGTATTTTAATCAGATTGGTGTGTCGAGGAGTTCTTGCTAGTTAATTAAAGTTAAAATCATTTTCTCATTTTCGTATTGTATGTGAAAGTACAGATCCTTTTTTTATTCGTCTTTTTAGAATTCAAATTTACTTTTGATTTTTCTTTACCAACGAATCTGGAAGGATTTTTAAATAAACCACTTTCTTGTAGATATAAGAGATTAGCCAATGAAATGGCCTGTTTTAATTGAGCTTTAGGCCAAGTATACACTGAATCCAGGAGAAACATTTATAGAGCAGAAGTTCGGAATACCTGACAACTCATCCCAAAGACAACTTATCCCAAGACAACTCATCCCAATATAAGACAACTCATCCCAAGATAGAAGACATCTCATCCCAAGATAAAAGACACCTCATCCCAACTTAGTTTTGTTTGGTTTAATACATGAGTCGAGATATGAACAATTTATTAAATAATACATTTTATTACACAGATGGAATAGCTTGAACTGCGTGGATCTAGTCTGCTTCTGTTGGTGTCTTCTCAATTTCCTCTCAAGACACCATTTTGATCTGGGTTGGTAGCACATTTTTAAAACAAAATCAGATTGGTCTGAGTTGTCTTCGAAGAAAGCAATTGTATTAACACAAATATAACTAGCACTTATATTTGTTGGGATGAGTTGTCTTATATCTCGACCCATGTTTTAAAGTTGGGATGAGTTGGATTTTATCTTAGAAAGAATTGTCTTCTAAATTGGGATGAGTTGTCAAATATTGGGATGAGTTGTCTTTTTTGATGAGTTGTCTTTGGGATGAGTTTTCTGTATATGAAAAGTTTGATATAAATAGTTTATATCATTCAGTCAAAGTTAACCGTGTAATTGCTCGCTATCTAGTCAGATATAATATGTGCAGGATTGGGTTACTATTCCGTAGGTCGTTATTATTGAACAGGTACTGTGGTGGCGCCCCCAGTAAAACAGCCCAATATTTGTTTTTGACTCATATAATATATTTACGATATTTGATTAAATACTTTTATAAATAGATATATATAGAGTACTTATACTTTCATTCAGTATTCACAAATAAAAACCTTTTTACTTAATCTTTTAAATACCTATCATATCCTGCTTTCATAGGCCTCAGATTAGCAGACCATGTTAAACTGACTGTGTCGATATGGAATTGAGAATTGAGGCCCCTGTTTCAGCTTGTGTACCCTCTAGAGGTCACAATTTTTATCCGATTTGAAAAACCATTTAAATATATCACTTTTACGCACTAATCATGGTTGAGTTTGAATTTCGTGAAAATGGAACAGAAACTGCCCAACAAAATGTCTTCTACTTGTACGCAAATAGTGTAAAAGTTTGTAATACCAAGGTTGTGAACCCTCTACAAATCACAATTTTTATCCGATCTTGATGAAACTTAAAATATATATTTATATCCAAAAGATTTTGGTTCTTTTCGATAGTCGTGCCTTCCTGGATAATGGCCCCCTGATTGTAAAACAAATCACATTTTTTTTTTTTACTTGTTCTCTATCCAAATCTTGCAAAATGTGAGCAACTGCTGGTTAACTATTATAGCGAGAACTCTCAACTCTGTATGTAATCTTATCTAATACCCCTTTAAAGTGTGAATTTCTCACTGCATAAATTGTTTATTAAAGATTGGTTATTTTATATATTTTTGGGTTTTTTCCACATTTCTTGTGTTCCACATTATTACAATGTATGTTTGATCTATCTTTAGTTTTTTTTGTTTAAATTGTAATTCTTAAAGGGAAATTAGGGCTTTTGGGGTTCTCACCAGTGGCATGCATGTTTCATGAAATTTTAACTAAAGTTAAAATCCAAATTTTAGTAGATACTTCAATTTTGATTGGCTAAGCACTAAAATCAATCTAATATTATCCAATCAAATTACTAAAATTTGGATTTTATCTTAGTTAAAATTTGGTGAAACAGGCCCCAGCTGGTAAAATTGCTTGACAAATGTTTGACATATAGTACTATTTTACAAGTTTGATTATTAACCTAAAACGGTGGACACACTAGCCGAATCGTTCGGCCGAATCAATCGGCGTCGAAATTCGCCTAGTATGTCCACTGTCATTCGGCCGAATGATTCGGGCGAATAGAAATTCGGCCGAATGATTCGCCCAAATCAAACAGGTTTGATATATTCGGCCGAATTATATTCGCCTGGTGTGTCCCCTTCGCCGAAGCATTCGGCCGAATATAGAATTCATTAGCCAATCAACACTCATATCGAGAAGTCACGTGATAGAATGAAGACATAGACGCCACCATGTTTAATCATGTGACGTGAAAGGTGATGCAATCGACAGGTTGAATCGGGCGAAGCATTCGGCTAGTGTGTCGACACATTCGGCCGATAAAATTCGGCGCCCATTGATTCGGCCGAACGATTCGGCTAATGTGTCCACTGCTTAAGGTTATATAGAACCTGATTTTATTCAGGATTATTTACATTGTACATTGGTAAAAAGTGGGGGTTGGGTGGCCAAATGGTTAACACGTGTAATTCATTGAGTCAAGTGGTGTGGTTTCGATTCCCCGGTTGTACGTGACAAGGAGTAGGGTCACCTGTCCAACCTAAGGGTTTTTCTCTGGGTCCTCCCACTGCTAAAGACCCCTACATGCAAGCGAATTATTGAAATAAAATTGAACCATATGTTAGTGGACGTAAATCCCCATTTCTCTCTCTTGGTAAAAATGATAATACCTATTTGAAGATGTATTATAAGAGAGAGAGAGAAATGGGGTTTAACGTCCACTCGACAAAAACTAGGTCATTTCGGGACTCTACTCCTTGTCACGTACAACCGGGGATTCGAAACCACGCCAGTCGACTCAATGACAGACTTTATGATACAGCGCGCGCACGCTAACCATGCAGCCATCCAACCCCCCTAGATGTATTATGTAAGATTTAGATTAAGAGCTGGCCGGTCTTGCAAAAAATAGATAATGAAAAATGAATATATTGAAAATTTGATTCAAATTACTTTATTCCGGGCGAAGTTATTAGTGTTTGGAGATGTAGTGTAGATTGTTTATTATTGTACCAACATTATTGGCTTGTTATATAAATAAATTTCTTAATAATAATTTATGTAAGCTTTGAAGCCCCCAAAAAAGACCTGCAATAGGCAGATTTAGCTCTTACATAATACATCTGTAAAAAAAATAGAAACATTCTGGTGAGTTTACATGTATTATCGTAGCAACATTATTGGCTTGTTATACGAATCAATTTCTAAATAATAATGTATGTAAGCTTTGAAGCCCCAAAAAAGACCTGTAATTGGCAGATCTAGCTCTTACTTAATGCATCTTTAAAAAATATTAAAACATTCTGGTGAATTCTCAATAATGTGTAGGTCTTATGTCAATCTGATTAAAACCCACATCTTATTTCGTTTCGTTTTTTATAATTCAAAATTTCATTTTACTTGTCTTTACTACACTATGATCTGGAAGAGTTGTAATATACCTGAGTCTTTGGAGTGTGGGATGCATGGAACTGTGGGTATCCTATTAGAAACATCAACGCTGATTGGTTAATCAAATGTCTTAACATCATTGGGTCAAAAGCCACGCACATGACCCCAGACCCAGACGCTACCTCCCACTACAACTGCTAAGATCTTCATGTAGTGTAGGCCATCAAAAGTATAAAAAAACAAAACGAAATATAGATCTGTATTTTAATCAATATCCTCCTGAACTTTGAACTTTGACCTTTGAACCACAGAAAAAGGAATAAGATTATGTGTTAGTCTCAGATTATCTACAGTATTATCTATAGTTGCACATTCCACTGTAACCCAGGTATCATTTAATGTTGTGTATGTAGCACTAATTTCTTACACATTCATTTAATTTCAAATCTTTGTTAAAAAATTTGTAAAAATCATTCAAAATCACCAAAAATCATCTAATTTGTACTTGTGTCCAGTTTAAAGCTGACTGATTAATTTTGATAATGAGTGTCCAATTTACAAGTATTAAATTTCCTGACCACTGTTCAAAAATTAATCATTATACATATTAATCATCAGAGATTGAGAAATTAAATACTTGTAAATTGGACACTCAATATCAAAATTAAATGGTCAGCTTTAAACTGGACAGAAGTACAAATTAAATGATTTATGGTGATTTTAAACAGTTTTTATGAATTTTTAAACAAAGATTTGAAATTAAATGAATGTGAAAGAAATTAGTTCTAGATACACAAGATTAAATGATACCTGGGTTACAAGGTTCCTTTCTATGTCTTGTTTTATTTTATTATATTCATATACTTATTTTTATGTTTATATTTTAAATAACCACCAGAAAATACAAATGTGAGGTCATCAAAGACGTACCATTATTTTAAATTAACCCTTTAAGATTGCCTGGAACTATTGCTTACACTAAGAGGGTGCTCGATTCACAGTTCAGAATGTCCCAAATTGACAGAATTGCAATTGAGTGACGCGGAATTCAGTCTTGTCACAGTTCTGTCAGTCCTGGAGACGGAGTTGGTGTGAGTAGAATCGTGACATTATTAAACCAACATGGTTGGTTGATATATTTACTTATCCAGTTGACGCATGCGTTGTAGGTAGCCCAAAATACCCCAGGCTTTCACTCGATTGTCACTATTTTGGGGATTGAGAGAATTCAATTCTGGAACGTTCAATCGAATACCTCCAATGTGACACATGAAACGATAATTTCTGTCATTGAGTAAGGTGGCGTGGTTTCGTTTCCTCGCTTGTATGTGAAAAGGTGTGGGGTTGGCTGTCCAAGCTTGTGGGTTTTCTCCTGGTTCTCCAAATTCCTCCCACTGCTAAAGACCCCCTATGCTCAAGGGTAAGGGCTGGGGTCAACCCCATGTGGTGGCTATCTTGGTATGTGGAAATTCCTGACCTCCCCAGCTGACCAGAAGATAAAACTCTCTCAGTTAGTTAGAAAGCTGGATTAGTTCATAGCAGGTCAACCATTTTCAAAAATAAGAATTATGATTTTATATGACTTCTCTGAGAAGACTCATATTTACAAATGTCATTTTACGTGCACGCTAACAGATAAACAGGACTTTGGATGTTTGTCCCATCCAAACGACTAGGATCCTTCAGTCAAAGGGTCTCGTCCTGTACAACTAATAAGTGGACACCGCGCCAGAAAACATCAAAGAACACTTGGATTGAACAGGGAACCTCCTGTTTACCAAGTTAGTACCTCACTCACTGGATGGCTGAATGGTTAATGTGAATGTTGCATCATAAGGTTGGTAGGGTTTGTAATTGAGTCAAGGTACGTGACAATGAGTAAGATCGCCTGTCCAACCTCGTGTTTTTTTTTAAAATCTGAAAATGAACCCAAAACGGTCCAAAATATGGATCAGTTTAACTTAATGGAATACCAAAATAACGTATTAAAGTTGCAATTTCATATTTTTAAGTTATATTTTTAAAATTTATTAAAATAAAGCCCTAAATAGATGGTATCTATAAACAGCCCTACCTTGTTAAAGAATAATCCTATTAATCCTAAAAATTCACTATTGCCAGTTGAGAAATTGGCAAAAATATCATTTACAACTTCAAATTCAAACGTTTGAAGATAGCTATTCCATGGGGGGGGGGGGGGGTAGAAAAACAAGGGAGGTGATTGTGTTATTATTTCCGGGGTCAAGGATTTATAAGTGGGAGAATGATACCTATGATCGTATAATAGTGAGTTGACAACCCATTGAGTAAAAGACATAGAAATAATTATGTTTTGACTTCCTTAGAAAATATGAAATTCTCGCTTTAAACTATTTAGATTTTTGTTGTTTATTATTACCATTTTTATACATGCTTAAAATTATTATGCTTACCTTTATTTTAGCATACCTATATTTTAATTTGATTGTTAAATCTATTGATGAAGAGGATATATGGTTGATTTTGAATAATAAAATTGTTACGGTCTTTTAAAAACTTAAGTTTATTTTATATGAGACAAGAAGATAGTCACACAAAACGTCGAGATTCGCCCACATAGCAGCAAGATCTCTCAACTGGAATGGAATGAAATGAAATGGGGTTCAACGTCCTACTGTTCTGCTCCTATGCTGGGCTAATGAAGACGGGCATACGCCATACAGTGTGCTATAAGGGAAATTTTGCCCGCGCAGCGGCACTTTCGCCTACTCTTTCATCGAATTCCAACTGCTAATGGATCGTTTACGTGCATTCCAATGTATACACGGGACCTCGGATTTTCGTATCATCCAAAGGACTAGACAGCTGTCCTTGTCAGGCCCTCTGTCCTGCATCACTGACAAGGGGGAACCACTCTCAACTGGAGGGGTCGAGGTGTTGGATTCCCCGGTTGTACGTGACAAGGAGTAGGATCGCCTGTGGGTTTTCTCTGGGTCCTCCGGTTTCCTCCCACTGCTAGAGACACCTACGTGGAAGCGAATTATTGAACTATGGTGTGGTCGGCATGGTTCTAGGAGATCGAAACAGTCCAGGGTTGAAGATGTTACAACAGTGAGAGGGTGGTGCGGTCGGTGTGTTTCTAGGAGGTTCAAACAGTCCAGGGTTTAAGATGGTAATGACAGAATGTTCATGGTTCTAGGTCGAAACAGTCCAGGGTTTAAGATGGTAGTGACAAGATGTGCATAGTTCTAGGAGGTTGAAACAGTCCATGGTTTAAGATGGTAACAATGGGAAGACGGTTCCAGGAGGTTCAAACAGTCCAGGGTTTAAGTTAGGAAGAGGGTGAGGTCGGCGTGGTCCGGGTGGTGGAAACAGTCCAGGGTTTAAGATGCTAGTGACAAGATGTGCATAGTTCCAGGAGGTTGAAACAGTCCATGGTTTAAGATGGTAACAATGGGAAGACGGTTCCAGGAGGTTCGAACAGTCCATTTTTTAAGATGCTAACAATAGAAAGAAGGTGAGGTCGGCGTGGTCCGGGTGGTGGAAACAGTCCAGGGTTTAAGATAGGAAGAGGGTGAGGTCGGCATGATTCCAGGAGGTTGATACAGTCCATGGTTTAAGATGGTAACAATGGGAAGACGGTTCCAGGAGGTTCAAACAGTTCATGGTTTAAGATGTGAAGAAGGTGAGGTCGGCATGGTTCCAGGAGGTTAATACAGTCCATGTTTAAGATGGTAACAATGAGAAGAAGGTGAGGTCGGTATGGTTCCAGAAGGTTCAAACAGTCCATGGTTTAAGATGGTAACAACGGTAGAAAGGTGAGATGGGTGTTGTTCCAGGTCGAAAGAGTCCATGGTTTAAGATGCTAAAATGAGGTGAGGGTGATTCCATAAGGTGGTAACAGTTCAGGAATTGAATTACACACATATATATAGGGGGCCATCGCCATCTTGTCCATGCCTACAGGGCATCTTAAGGTCTTAATCCGACCCTGACAGTGGGTGTCTACAACCCGGGAACAATTCAGTATAATGGATTGTTAAACCAATGAATTGGTTCCACACACATTCTTCTGCTTTTTGTGACGACACTCAAAGTCTTGTTCTGTGGACCAGTGGAAATGAAATGAAATGAAATGGGGTTTAACGTTCTACTGTTCTGCTCTTATACTGGACTAATGAAGATGGGCATACGCCATACAGTGTGCTAGGAGGGAAATTTTGCCCGGGCAGCGGCACTATCGCCTACTCTTATATCGAATTCCAACTGCCAAGGGATCTTTTACGTGCATTCCAATGTATACACGGGACCTCGTTTTTCGTCTCATCCGAAGGACTAGACAGCTGTCCTTGTCAGGCCCCCCGTTCTGCACTACTGACAAGGGGAAACCACGTCGGAAAACCAAGATGAACTTTCTCGGCCAATGCAGGGAGTGGACCAGTGGCTTCACACACTTAGTAACGACACTCAAAGTCGGGTACGATCGTCACGAAACTTAGCATGCTTGTTCTTTAGACCGGTGGTCCTCCTGTTGGTTGCGACCCATTTCCAGAAACCATCATCTGTTCGCGACCCCTGAAAGAACAATATGTCACCCTTTACTATGAAAGATCATCATTAATTGCTGATGAAAATGTTGTAATGGGAGACTGGGGAAACAAATCGTGAGCATGAGAGACTGTGGCAAGAAGTGTGTAGATTGTGAAAAAGCTTTCAGAGTAGTCAGCCACCACCACAGGAAAAGTTCTCCGTGTTAGTAGCCCATTCCCCAAAATACTCATTTATGTAAATAAGCGGCCATTGTGGACTCCAGAAATTCCCGAACCTCCCCATTATAGATTATCACTCGGCAAACCCCAGCAGGCTCCAAAACCCTACATGTGGACACAGATCACCAATTAATATTTCTACAACACGCCGTCACCCAGGGCCAAAGTTATTTTTAGTCTTTCTCTCCCTTTCTCTTTTTGCCCCTTTTGCATGGCGATTTTTGGTG